CAGAAGCAGAGATCGGAGTGATGTGGCCAGGAACAAGGAATGCTGTAGCCTCTAGAAGCTGCAAGAGACAAGGAATGGACTTTTCCCCTGGACAATTTAAAAAAACCAACTCTGCTGACATATTCATTTTACCCCCTTAAGACTCACTTTGTAGTCTGACCTCCAGAGAAATAATAGGATAAATTTATGTGGTCTAAAGACACTGCGTTTGTGACAATTTGTTACAGCAGCAATAGGAAACTAATACAACCCTCGATTACTTATGTGAACTAAGACGGTCCCTGGGAATCTTCATGGAAAAGTCAGTTTGATTGTCATTTCCTAACCTGTTTTCTGCTGCCATTCTTCCTATAAAAGGAAAATAGTCTCCATCCTCCCCTTCCTCCTTGGTCATCGTATCTATTCAGAGGAAGTTATAATGGAAAAATGAAATACAATAAATGATGGGAAGCATATTCCTTTCCATTACTGTTTGAAAGTAAACTGCTGCTCTCTGCTTTTTTCCCCTATAAACTCTAAAATTAAGTTTTCTGATCTAACTATTTTGCATTAGAAGCAAGCACATGATAGACATAATTCACTGCAGGTCATTGTTTCTCTATCATGTATTTTCAAGGAAATGAAGGTGGAGATGTGAAACTTTAAAATATTTGCTGATGATAGTCAATCTCTTCCTTCAAAAAGGATCGTCAGTGTGATGAGATGCTTTCCTTGATGTTTAGTATTCCTTCTGTACCATTGATCTTAAGAATATTATGCTAATCAAAATAAATCAGAAGGAAAAAGAACTATATGATTTCACTCATACGTGGGATATAAAAAAATAACAAACGAACAAGACAAACAAAAAAACTCATTGACACAGACAACAGGATGGCGGTTACCAGAGGGAAACAGGGTAGGGGAGAGGCAGTAAAGGGCAAAGGGGGTCAAATATATGGTGACAGAAGATTTGACTTTGGATGGTGAACACACAACACAATATACAGATGATGTATTATAGAATTGTACACCTGAAATCTATATAATCTTATTAACCAATGTCACCCTAATAAATTTAATAAAATTTTTAAACAGTTGTCAGCAAAGTAAAATAAAAAATAAAAATTAGAGTGGGTGCCCTGGCCTGTGTGGCTCAGTTCATTGGAACATCGTCCTGTAACCAAAAGGTTGCGAGTTCGATTCCCTGTCAGGGCACATACCTAGGCTGTGAGTTCAATCCCAGTCCGGGCACAAGTGTATGGGGCCCCTAGTCTGGACAGGCACAATCCCTGGTCCAGGGGAATATGGGAGGAAACCAACTGGTACTTTTCTCATGCATCAAAGTTTCTCTCCCTTCTTCTCTCTCTAAAGGCAATGAAAAAAATGAAAAAAAAAGCTTAAAGTGAAGGGAAGCTGTTTGTCAGATCACACTCCAGCTGTGGGCAGTGTAAGGCATGTTCTAGACCCTCTTCTTTTACATTCTTACACATATAAGTTGATCCTGATACACAGTTAGATGGATGCATGCCATCTGCAATAGCAAATAGATAAACAAATTCCTATATATGGTGAAATGCACCCATAATAATTAAAGTGGCTCCAGGAAGCGAATGAGTCTGTTGCATTATCACCAGCAAGAATAGTTTACCTCCAATGATTTAAAAACCTTAACATAACCAAGGTCACCCCAGTATTTAATTTAAAAATAAAATTAAAAAATTAAATCTGTTAACATCAACCAATGTTCTAATATTGAACCTTTTTTAAATTAACAGAATAAATTGAATTTAGCTACCAAAAAAATAAAAGTCTGATGCGCTGGATGCTCACCATTGTTCAAGTGCCCCCCAGTGCTGAATATTTCCTGTTTACATCTCTAGATCCGCTCCTAACCCTGTATTTTGCCCCAGGAGGCTGACGTGTGTGTGAACTATAGCGATGGGCTTCCTTCCACCTACTGTGTCTATTGTGGTTTCTGGACACTCTGCCCATATCTTGGCAAGTCATTCATTAAACTCTCCTCCAAGTTGAGTGTGCAGTTTTTTTTGTTTGCCCACCTGACACAATCATTTCTTAAAGTTATATTTTGAAGCCAAGCAATTCCACCAGAACCTATTCTATTTGAAATCAATTGTTCTGCAGGGTCTAGACTAAAGTTATTGTAATACTTATTTGGCTTTGTCTGCCCTTGACATTTTTCAATAAATAGGTAATCTCTCCTAAGCTTTATCCAACAGAGCTCTAAGGTCTCAGCTGAGAAGTTTTCTAAATGTTTCCACAGATGCAAAACTCTTTTTCAAAAGAAATTTAGACCTACAGCAAAGAGGAATAACTCTTCTTTCAGATGGGAATTTGCAAGAATATATCAAGTCTTGACTGTAAAGTATGAAATAAAATCCATTTGAATTTCTTTAATTAGTAAGTACTCCAGTAATTCACTAAACAAATTAACCTTGAAATGACTTGATCTACAAGAAATTGGCCAACATTTGGTTCAACGCTGTTGAGATTCATCCACTTCAATACACAGAACTCTTTTTCTCATTGCAGTCTATGAACATAAAATTATATCTATAAATTTCCTTACTGAAGCTATGTAGTTTCATTGTTTTACTACAACTACAATGGACATCTTTGTACACATCTTGTTGCTCATGTGCACCAGGCAAGTAATAAGGAAAATACTAAACGTATTATGTTTTACTTTTTCCACTTGCATGTTCTAATCTGCTTATGAACTGTGAAATCAACTTTGTGTTTTCACCAGTATTCTTTCCACTTTAAAGTAAAATAGAAAAGACAATGCCATGTATATATTAAGGGTATTATTTTATGAAATTTCATTTTAGCTTTATACAGGGTCTGGCACATAGGATGCCCCTTTTTAATTACAAAATCTTTTATTACAAAATCATAAGCAGGTAATTCTGTAACATAACAATATCACACTCAAGCACACCATATGACATTCTAGGTGAAACATTCGAATTAAAACTATAAATTATTACATTCATCTTATTACTCTACCAATCACACTGAAGCAGGCCTCACTTCTGCAGGACCCTGTATACACACAAATCCATATGGATAAGTATGTCGTTTTCACACTGTGCATGTCACAGTGTACAACCTTTTTTCTTACAATGGGTTACAGTCAAAATACCTGAAAACTGACCCAGGATACAGACACAGAAGCAGAATTTCGATATCTTAGAATATGCACATTTTCAACCAGACTGCTATTGATAGTTTGTTGATAAATCCATTTATACCTCTAGCAGGATGTAAGTAAATTATTTTTCTTCATACCCTCAACTTTTGATTTTAGGATCTCTCCCAATCTTGTAGACTTTAAATACCTTTGTGTTTTACTTTGCATTTCTCTGATCCTCTAGTGAGGCTGAGGTTTTCATCTGTGAATTACCTAACAATATTTATTGTAAATTTCCCTATTACTTTTCTTTCTTATTTATACTAATTCTTGACATGTTCTGGATAGTAATCCTTGTCTCTTACAGAAATTGCAAATACTTATTCCTATTGCTTTTCTTGTAACTTCGTGGTGTGGTTAGTCACCTAGAAGGAAATTTTCAATTTAAATAGTCCCTCTGACAATGTTTTCTTTTTAAAAAATGATTTGTGATTTTCACTTCTTGTTTGAGAAATCCATCTATCCCCCAAGGTCATAAATACATTCTCCTCTATCACTTTAAAATAGTTTTAAAGTTTTGCATTTTTTTCATTTAGGCTTTCAACTCATTTGGAATTTATTTTTGTTATGGTGAGAACCGAGTTTTATTTTCTTTGATAAGGAAACCCAATCGTTCCTACATCAATAATTGAATAGTTAGCTCTTCTCCCACTGATTTGTCATACTATCTTTTAAAAAATGTTTTTATATGCTTGGTCTCATTCTGGGGTCTCCGATGTTCTATTGGTTACTTGTTTATTGCTGCACCAATGCTATAGCTTCAGAAGTTTGATATATGGGAATTCATATTCCTTCTGCTTATTCTTACTTTTCAGAATTGCCTTGTCTATTTTTGATCTTTACTTTTCTATATGCATATTAGAATTGTTTTGTTAGGTTCTACACTGAAATCTTATTCTAGCTTTGTTCTATCTTGTCCTTTGTCTTCCTAAACTCTTGTTACGATTTTAATCAATATTGCCCGACTCAGCAAAACTGAATGCCTGGACTCCAGCAGAAAGAAACAAACACATCCCACATACGGCCTCTGCCTCACTCCCACTTCCCAGATTCCATTTACATTTGATAGAAGCTCAACTGCACCTAGAAGCCTTGCTGTAAAGGACTTTGGAAAATGCATGCATTAGCTTTAAAGCCTTTGCAGTACACAGTAGAGAAGGCTGGATTTCAAACTATGGGTTGCATTCTATTAGTGGCTCACAAATGGCATTTTTAAAAAATGAAATAAAACAAAATATAAATTGTCAGTAGGCCTAGCAAAAATAAGTATTGTTTCAGGAAAGTTTTATAAATATATACACACACACGCACATATATATGTAAATATACTTAAACATACAATTATGTATCACATAATGATGTTTTGGCCATCAATAATGGTCCTGTAAGAGTATAATGGAGCTGAGACATTTCTATTGCCAAGTGATGTCGTAGCTGTCAATAGAGAGGAGTGTTCAATAGACATTATTGGTTTACAAGCAAATCTATGATGAAACAAAAGAAACCAAGCAAACCACCATGGACATATTTCTGGACAGAGTGACACCTCCTCAAGAAGAGCCCCAGGCAGGTTTTCCAGGAGGTATTCCAAAGATGGTGCTGTCAGCCCAGGAGATGCCGGCTCCATCTCTGTTCCCGCCCCTGAAGACCTTCCAGTCGGACAGGATGTAGAGGCAGAAGACAGTGACATTAATGACCCCAACCCTGCGTAGGCCTAGGCTAAATATGTTACCTCTAAAGTAAAAGCCTTCCAATAATTTAATTAACACAAAGCCGCACATATGCACATTCTCTACGATCTACTGTTCTTCAACAGTTACTATTGAAAGAAAAAAAACCCTGTTTTTATAAAAGGCAGAGGAATGAAAAAATAGTCATTCTTTAACTCTGCCAAAAGATCTTCTAGAAAGAAACAAAATGGAGTGACACATCTGATACGAGCCACCAACAACCTACCCACCCTTATTAAGTAACATGTGTCCAAAATGTGTGTCCCTCCCTCCCTTCTCCCACCCATAGCTGGGGAAAAGGGTGCCCAGGGATAGAACTAACAGAATGTCCATTTATTTAGCCAGGGGCAGAGGGCACCTTCTGCCAACACAGAGATGAGTCCTAACTGGTCTTCGAAACCCTAACACTGGTTGTCTCTGGGTGTGGGGCCTACAAGAGATAGTTTTTAAATTCTAGTTTCCAAATTTTCTATGATAGGATGTGTTATTCTTACGATGCAAAGAGAGCCCCCACTAACCCCAAATCACATGTATGTTAGTTTATTGTTTTATTTTTAATGCCCCGACCATTGAAGAAGAGCTTCTGAGAGTCCTTGCAGGTTCATCCCTTCCGCTCCTGGTCATGGATAAGGTCTTCATTTCCAGAGAAGGCCAAGCAGGATTCCACATGGGTTTGGGCCAGGGCTGCCTGGGCTTTACAAAAATGATACTGGGAAGAGTTCCACAATTCCTCTGATGGCTAGAAAGCATGATACTTGCTAGTCCTTATGGTGTCTAGGCCCACGTTCTGGGCACAGTGGAGAGAAATAGAAAGCAGTAGAGATGGCCCCTTCTTATGAAGAGTACAATCTATAATCAAGGGCATAAAGAACATAAACATACTTTAGCAAATACAAAGGTCCAACCGAAGCAATGTAAACCAAGAGGTTGAAGTGGAAGAAGACAGGAGAGTGGCGGAGCCGATGAGGGGGACTCCTCCAAGATTTCCCGAAGCGGTTGTGGTGACTTCCTCTTTTTATATTAATGCAATTTCTTTTTCTCTGAGAGATCTGTACGAAGGGAAATTCTGAAAACGCAGGCATTTCCCTGGTTGGAAGAGTAGCTCATGGCAATGCTGGCCACGCCCACTGACTCCAGGTGAGAACTCCGGGTAACATTCAAGTTTCGTGGGGAAACAGGACTTTTCAGCACATGACTTTAGGGAGCTAAGTATGATTCTGATTTACTTGAAAGTTGTTAGTACTTAATGAAAACCCAAAACTTCCTATGGAACTACTATGCCTTCCATTTGACTAAACAGGTAGAGGTAGCTCTCAGGCTAGAAGGATTCAAATTCTTAAATGTTGCCCAAGTCCCCCATTGCACAACCCTGAAAACATAACAAAATTTAAAATTCTGGAAGATAACTTTGTTTTCTTCCTTATTAAAAATGGCACCTTCTCCCCCACACCTCTAACATCCAGGTGCTCAACATGTTATTTTTTTAAGCGGTCCTCCCTGCCTTTATAAAACTTCATCATTCACTGGGTATGACTTTGAAGTTATTGCTGGCACTGGAATCTGAGATGGAAATTTTTCTAGCAGTGTACACAAGTGGGAACAGAAGAAATTTCACAATTTGAGTCCTGAAGGGACCTAACAGGTCATCGTGGCCACACCTCTGAGGGAGAAAACTGCTTTGGAACCATGCACTTTTCCTAGAGGATTACCCGCGGGGCTGAAGACACGTGGAGCTCGAGCCGACCATGAGGTTGAGAACCAAGCTGAGAACTCAGATTCTGTCAGGGTGATGCTGGCAGGTCTGGGGCCACCCAAACGCAGTGCTTCTCCTCTGCTCATACCAACATTACCTCAAAAGATTCCTGGCGAGGAGTAACTGACAAGGGTAGAGATCAAATACAGTATAAAGATGAATCTTAAGGGCCTAGCCATTCGATCTTAAGGGTGTTTATCTCATCCCAGAAAAATTATGAGAAAAAAATTTTTATGTATCGGCCTTTAGGTCATGATGAAGGAAAAGCAACCCAATCAAACTTCTAGAAACAAATCAACTTGCCACTCAGGCATGTGAATTGAGCTGTCTGGCCAGAGGTCACGATTCTGAGCTAAGTCTGAATTTTCAACCAAATAACATCTATTTCCTCAATGCAGTGATGGCCTCGCTCATGAAGTCTCTTCTCCAACTGGCTCTGTGCCTGGCAAAAATCAGTCCAGAAGCCGAGTGCCTTCTCCATATGTTCAAGCCGATCTTTCTACAATTCTCAGGTTCCAAGAACCTGCCTTGGCCAAAGGCACAGTGATCTTCCGCTTCTGTGGAGGAATCTGGGATTTTCACTTGATCATCTGAGTCTCTTCATTTGCATCATAAAATTCTTCCTCTTCACTCTCACTCCCTAAAGCAGCCTCCTTGTCCACGGACTAAAACAGGGAAGGAGAAATGGGCGTGAAAGGACATCATGACATTTCTAAAATGAAAATTACTATGTAGCACTTAGCTGACAAATGCATCTCTATGACATCTATTCCCCTAAGAATTAGCCCCTAAGGTATTCTAAGAAAGCTAATGAACCACCTTTATCAGCTACTGTTAGACCTCCACCTTTGTTTTCCAGCAGTTTTGCTCAAATCTGGTTTGATCCAACCAGACACACTTCCCCCCTCAAAACTCTCATCACCCAAGTGGTAGTTCTGAATGATTAAGACAAATACAACCATACCTGTGGGGTATCCAAGGTCTGCAAAGACAGAGCTTCCTCCCCCAGCCTCCGGTATGAATACACCTGAAGGTCAGAAACCGTCTCTAGCAAGGGAGTGTTAAGGGTTTCTGGCAACAACAAACTCAAGAGACCTGAGGTCAGGCCAGAGGCTCCGAAGACAATGAAAGGCAAAGACCACTGCACATATTTCTGTGGGGGCAGAGAGTGGAATAAAAACAAACAAAACTCAGTATCAGTTTCCTTGGAGATCACATCAGCAGTCTTGACTGGTGACCGGCCCTGTTTACTACATAGTTCACGCCTTCCCACTAGGATACACTGTAAACCACCTCTTTCCCCAGAGAGAGTTGCCCTCGGGGATCGGTGGTCCCTCAGGGACACAGACGGGAGCAAGTTACTAACCTAGCACTGGGGATCAAGCAGCCTCAGAGCAGCCCGCTCTGTTGGGGGTGGTGGGTGGGGGGCATCTATTGTGGGAGAAGCAGGCAAGGCCCCCAAGGCCAGAGTTCACAGGGAACCTGGTGCTCAGCTTCCATTCCAGGTGGGCAGCTTATAACACAGTGATCTCCTCATGCTCCTCACTTAGGAAACGCCCCAAATATTTGTTGTTGATGAACTTGAATATTCTCAACCCTGGAATCAGCCAAACAATCCCATATAGGCTCAGGGATTCGCTTAGCAGCTTAACTGAGAGGCACGGGGGTTAAAGGTACAAACCTCCTTTAGAAGAAAAAAAGAGAACCCAGAAGCGCCCTGCACGGACCCATAGTTGGAAACTACCTGAATCGAATGTGGGTGAGGGCCAGTCATTCAAGCACTCGCTGCAGAGATCCAAGAGATATTTTCAGGAAAATTTAGTTTCTTTAAATAAAAACAGGTTCAAAGATAACACAGAAAAAGCAGTCCTTGCGGGATGCTGCCCTGGGGCCTTCCCGAGCTGGTGCGCATTCCCGAGTTCCTGCGCGCACCGCCCCGCATTCTCTCTCGGGGTTGGGCTTCCACACTCTGAGCGCCTACCCGGCTGGTGCAGATGGCCCCTTGGGTCGTGCAGAATAGTTTGCTGATTTGGCAGAAGTAAAGAGATGATGGAGAAGGAGGAAGAGGAGGAGAGGAGGGATGGAGAGATTGGGAAGGGGGACAGGTGGGAGGAGGAGAGTATCTGATCTCTGGCCGCCTACAGGCAAACACAGGTCCAGCACTCTGGTTGCTGCTGAATCAAAGGGAACACAACACTCTCACCTCCTCTCAACCTGGCAGGAGTGCCCGGAGACGCGGCGCTGGGTTTTACCCTGCGTTAGGGCAGCCGGCCGAAGGTGGGTATCGTGAATGATAAACCCCTAACGTCAGACGCTCTTTTCATAATGGGACTAAGACGGCTCCTTCAAAAGAAGGGCCTTGTAATCTAAAATTAGGCATGAGATGTGGACAGAGATACTCAGAAAAAGGAAATGTATCGCAACTCAAAAAAAAGGAAGAGCTACGGTGACATTTCAGAGGCGTCCTCTGCTGGGAAGTGGTGAGGAAAGGCGCCTGGGTAATGACATCTGTCCACAGGACAGGTACTCCAGTGCCACCACAAACATGACTTCTTCCACCATGAGCTTCGCTGGCAGAGTCAGAGTCAGAGCCAGGCCGAGCCCACACTGCACAGGGCCCCCCCCCCCCCCGCTGTCACAGACCCTGAACGTTTCCTGCCGGGACGGATCTTGGGCCTGTCATTTAAGTCTAAACCCTTTGCTTTGACTATAAAATTTAGAAAATGGCAAAAAGTTAATAAACACACTGATAGGCATATTTCTCATCTGAACTCCTTTTCCAAGCCGTGTGCCTTTGGGGAGGGTGTGTCGCCCTCCCAAAATTCTTGTCTTTAACGCAGGGCAACAACGATGGCTGCCTCCGTGGTTGCCGTGAGGACGTGAGGACTGCGTGGGATTCCGTACGTGAAGAGTTTCGCTCCGAGCCCGGCATACAGCAGACATTTAAGAAATATTTGCTAACTGACTAACTTGTGAATGCGGACAAGAAGGGCCAAGCTGGCATTAGCTGAGTCTCCAACGGACACAGAGGAGCCGAAAACCAGAGCCGGGGTCGGGGAGGGAGGCGGTACAAACATCCTTGGCCCTGACAGACACTTAGTCTAAAAGGATCCTTAACTTAAAAGGCACAAGCTCACATCTGTGTCAGGCTGATCTTAAATGGCAGCTGTCCATGACCTCTTTCTACTCAAAAGCGCAAGCGTTTCCAAAGCAGAGAATCACGGAAAACACTACGAGGAAATACAAACCAACCAGTGAGGGGATGAAGGGAGCGATAATCCCACCGACTCGGGAGAACATGGAACACGTTCCAAGCCCAACATTCCTGAAAGGCATAAGAAAAAGTTTTTCAAAAATCAGTAAAGTTCTAGGGCAGCGACTGAAAGACCCTAGTGGGTAGCGGGCCTCGGATTCTCTATCTGGAAGCAGAGGCCGGGGCCCTACAGAGCAGCGCCGCCTACCGGACTCTCTGCGGTGCTGCAATGGTTCTCTAACGGGAGCCACTAGACACACGCAGCTATGGCGCGCTCAACATGGGACAAAGGATGAGGAACCGAATTTTGTCTTACTTCGTTTTAATTTAAATTTCAATGGCCATCTGAGGCTACTAACTATTCTACTGGACAGTGCAGTTACAGAGGCTGGTGTAGAAATGAGCACGTGACTATTTCCTGTCCAACTTGCTTATGGTTTGGGGCCTTAGGTCTCCTACCAGTTATTAAAGTCATAGAAAGCCAAAGCTTCATGATCTAAGAAGTCTATCCATTTATCTGAATTCAAGTCAACTATTAAAGCATAGGGCATATAAGGAGTTGACTGAGCATGTATTCTCAGGAAACCGAGAACATCGCCTCCTCCCGGAGTGTGGGTAGGGAAGAGGTGGGAAGAAGTAAGAATTTTGATAATGGGTAGAGGCAGGGTGACCACACATCGCCCTGTTACCCCATACTAATTGTTAATAACACATTCCTCTCTGATGTGTCCCAGTTTGGAAGAAATGGTCATCCTAGTTTATAGCCAACAGCGAGAGAAAGTAAGGTGACAGGATCAGTTATAAAGTGACAAGCCAGCCACGTACTATTCAATCTCTTAATGGAATAAAGGCAGAAAAACTCATTAGGCTTCCTGCATGGATAAGGAAACAGAGGGATTCATCTGGAATGACTGTCAAAAACTGGGAAAGTGCCGACTGAGGGAATCCTGGCCCAGCTCAGAGGCAGTTCTGTGAAGACAAAACTGTATCCCTGACCCTCAGATTGGTGTTCTGTTTCTTGCTTTCAGACCTATTTTATGAGGGGAAATTTAGAATGGAATGTGGTCTATTTTTTTTAAATTTATTTATTGATTTGACAGAGAGAGAGATTTGTTGTTCCACTTACTTATGAATTCTTGATTGATTTTTGTATGTGCCCTGACTGGGATGGAACCGCAACCTTGGCCTAGTGGGACGAAGCTCTAACCAACTGAGCTACCCAGCCAGGACTGGGATATGTTCTTTTAAAAATAACCATGTCCTACTCATTAAAACCATCTTAACAACTAATACGTAAATCTAATATTTATTTGTTACTCTATGGAATTATCTCCTTAAAAATGTGTATATTTTATAATGTTATTAACCAACATTACTCCAATACACTTAATTTTAAAAATATGTATATTTTGTGCTAAAATGTAGGCTCTGTGAGAACAGGGACTTTGTCTCCTCGTAGTCATGTGCCTGGCACAGGATGGGTGACTTTATTAATAAATAAAGTCAACCGAAATAAGACAACATCGGAGCACTATTTGGGTGTCAAGACATGTTTACAGCAGAGTACTTCTCTCACGATTTACATGAGGGAGCTCAGCTCAAGATAAAGCTACAATTCCTTAACCAAGCGAGCAAAGAACAGTCTACACGGACAGTTTCTGAGCTGATCCCTGCTTGCCGAATCGCTGCTGGCCCTCACTAACTCTGCTCCGGATGAAGTGAGAACCCTACCTCTGGCGGTGCAAGCATGTCCACCAAAACACAGGAGGAGGGGGGGGTGCATACCTGATGACGGTAGGGTAGATCTCGGAGGTGTAGATATACGCTACGTTAAAGGCAGCGCTGATGGTCAGCTTCCCCAGCAGGGACAAGGAGCGGCTGTTCACCACCGCAAACACACCTGTGTCTGAGGAGCACAAGGGCAATGACTGCGAGGTCCGTGGCGGAACAAAGCTTTCTGTTTAATGGTTCATTTATTGAGTTGGCCAAAAACTCTGTTTAGTTTTTTTTCCATAAAATAAAAGACACATTTTTCATTTTCACCAATAACCACTGATTTGGATATTTTGAGTATGTCGGCTATCTCCCCCAGAATAGAACATTGATTGTTTTCAGTTAGTGTCTTGATGTGATCACTATCAGCTTCAACTGGTCTACCCGACTGTGGAGCATCGTCCAGTGAGAAATCTCCAGCATGAAACTTCGCCAACCATTTTTGACATGTTCGGTCAGTCACAGCTCCCTCTCCATACACTGCACAAATCTTTTTATGCTTTTCAGTTGCATTTTTACCTCTCTTGAAGTAATAAAGCATAATATACTGAAAATGTTGTGTATTTTCCTCCATCTTCAATATTAAAATGGCTACACAAAATTAATCAAGTTTGATTTTTTTTTAAATGCACGCTGATATGACAGCTGTCACAATACAATCTAACAAAATTGTTTCGAATGAAGTTAAAGACACCTAAGTGCTACTGGAACCATCTTATGGAGGAAAAAAACCAAATGAAATTTATGGTCAACCCAATAGTCCTGCAAGAACAAGACATTAATGTGGATCTCAAACAGAAAAGAGGGCATATAACTGAACACACATTCAGAAGGTTTAGGGATCACACCCAACACACGTGCAAGTATTTCCTCAGCAATTTGGCTATTCCCATGAAATCTTACATGGTGGCGGTCCAGTTGTGTGACCAAACTTGGACTCACTCCTCAATGACAGAGCTCCCTGAAAGCTCCTGTGTGGTAGTAAAGTAAGCTTCGGGGTAACTGTCAACTTTCATCGACCACAGGTGGTAACTGCCTCTCCTTTTCCCCCAACCTGGTTCCACAGTCAAGGATGTAAAATGGTGGTCGGCGGGAGGAGCCCGGGCCTGAGAGGTGCTCAGGCTGCTGGGGAAGGAGGCGGGGGGAGGGCGGAAGAGCTCCTATCTGATGTTTGTAATCCTTGGCGTTCCGTTGCAAAAATAAGGAATAATCCCATTAAATTACTACCAGAAGTTACGAAACATTAATATTCCTGAAAGAATGTGATTGAAATACAGAACTGCTTTCAATTCTTCCTCCTCCCCACGTTATTTGAATTACTAATCAATGATATTTGAGTTTCTTAATGTAACATTTTTACATATCATGGAAAATTACATTTTATGCCAGTTCACTTCCCTATCTAAAATACAATCAATTATCCTGTGGTTCTTTTCTTTATTAACATTATCCCATCTGGGACCTTACAATTTAATTGTTTGCGTTCAAACATGCTTAACTTCCCCCCTTCAATCATTCACTAGCTTCTACCTTCAAAATAACAATTTTCTTCCAAAGGGGGGGAAAAAAATCTCATCGACTCTGCTGTACTTTCCTCCCTTCACTACCAAACATCTCCAACGAGTGACCGACTTTCCATTTCTTCAAATGGAGATGCCCTGTCACTCAACCCGATGTGGCTCCCAATGCCAGCCTCTCCTGAAACTCCTATTCCTGAAGGTCAACAGCGATGTCTTAATCACCGAAGTAATTCCCTCTCACTGTCCTTGACATTTCTGCCCAAGAGAACACGTCTGTCCCCTTCCGCGGGGCTGCACGCATGGCTCATATATATAAACCACTCTCCCCTTCAATGACTCAAACATGCAATAACCTCTCCTTCCCTTGACCTTCACTGTCCCTACCTACCAATCCATTCAGCTGGCCTGCTCCAGACACTCTCTAGTAGTTTTTGCTCTTCCATCCGCTCTGCCCACAATACACTTCGAGTCAGGTCAGGCTAAGGCGGGTATCGCGTTTGCATCATGTCCCCCACGGCACCTCCTCCAGTGAGATGCACAGTAATGCTCACTAAATGTCGCTGAACAAATACGTGGAAGGACTGTGACAGGGATTACTGTGGTGAAAAGAGCCTGTGTTCAGGCTCCCTCAATGTCTGAGGAGGGAGGCATGAAATGCACTCCATTCTACAATATGTTTCACCTTCCCTGCTTGACAATTAAATAAATCTTCATCTACTTTAAAGATGGCGTCCTGAATTCAGTGGCCCAGGCACTGCCAAACTCGACCATCTGGGGCCTTCTCTTCTTCTGCCAGGCTATTTGGAAGAAGATATTTGCAAATTTAAGTACTGAATATATTATTTTAAGCCATGAGGTGCTTCTGGAAAAAGATTCCTGCTTTTCAGCCTCTACCCCACATATGTATCTGGATTCTTGATATGTAACCACTTCAATTAAACCAATAATAAGGGAAGATTAAATCCATCAATTATTTGCCAGAAAGCTGAGGGAGTCGGGAAGAGGTATTGGGGTGGCACTGAAGCAAACAGAAATGTGCACATTAGTTTGATTGCAAATGAACTCTGGGTCTGTTTTCCACCCCTACAAGATGGCATCTTTCAGAACCGTACGGAGACATGCTACATGTTTAACAACAGGTTAGGGGGCTGCCATACTGAAAATTGAATTCAAATGGCACATCACAGAAAGCTTAGAATCTAAACAACCATGAGATCCAAGGCTGGAAGAAGTCACCCATGTGAGGCCTGGGACCGTGGCCCATCTGGGGAGCCTGGCTCAGCCATGTGCCCACAGCACTCCCATCAGCTTAGCACCTCACCTGAGGCCTGAAACTTTCCCTGGGCTCCTGCCAACGGCGTCTGCAGCTGCCACTTAAACCTGGAGGGATTTGCTTTTTCCCAAGGCTGTCCATGTGCATTTCAGACAGCTCTGATTATTAGAAAATTATTTCTTATTCTTTTTGGGGCTCCTGCCTATGGTGCTGCCGGGCTGTGGGTCATCCTGAGTTAATGTTTAGGAAGGCTTGGCAGCCACTGGGCTGGCTCCCTGGATTCCTGACCTTGGCTCTTCATCTAAAGATGAAATAGATATTACTGGCTATTGCCAACAAATGTTTGAGGAGGCTGTTCAGAAACAAGAGCGATTTAAAAGGGAAAATTTAACTCAATTATCTTTGGGGAAAAGGGGGAAATTCTCCAAACACTTGTCCCCTTCAAAATACTGAACTCAGGAGGTTAAATTTTATTCCAATGTTGGAAATTCTCCTCAGAGCCATTTGGAGTCACCAGGACAAAATGTCTCAGTATATTATAGTCTTATTTAACTAACCCAAAATAGTAAAAATTCAACTTACTCAGCCACTTTATTCACTGGGTGATTATAATAAATTTATTATTTTTTATGCATATGTATACAATTGCTAAGACAGTTGCAGGCCTTCTACTTTGGTACATAGGTTGGGCATAGTACCACAATTCAATTTGCTTCCTTTTGGCATTTTTTTAAAAGAAAAATACCATATATGCACACAGTTCTTGTCATTAGAGTTTTGCCATTTTGAGAATTTCACATGAATGAAATAACTGTGTAGACTTTTGTGCCTGGCTTCTTTTAGTTAACATCATCATCCTGAAATTTATCCTTGTTGTTGTTCATTCCTTTTTTTTTTTCTTTTTAGTTGAGTAATATTTTATTGTATGGATATACCACAATTTGTTTATCCATTCCTTAGAGGATGGACATTTGGGTTCCTTTAAGTTTGGAGCTATTATTAATAGAGCTACTATGAACATTTACATCAAAATTTGTGTGGATCTATTTTCTGCTTCTCTTGGGTACAGCTGAGTCATATAGCAAGTGTGTTTTCACTTTAAAATAAGCTGCCAACACATTCCAGAGTTTCAGTGCCATTTTGTATTTCCATCAGAAGTATACAAGGCCTGTCCAGAAAAAGTCCAGCCATGGTTAATATAACGAGGATGGTTTGCATGACATCGATGTAATCCGGCAGTCAAGGAGTGGACGGGAATGCGCATGTATGGACAATGATGGCTTCACTCTACTAGTCAGTAGGGGCGGTAGATGCCATTGAGTGAGCATGTGTACTGTGTGGGCCCTGCGTTCAAAATGACTGAAAAAGTAGAGCAATGAATCTGCATCAGATTTTGCGTTAAGCTTGAACATCCCTCCGCGGAAACTATTTGGATGACTCAGAAGGCTGCAGCTACAGGCAACTAGTGATCGGCAGCTTCACCACAACAACGAGCCTGCTCATGCATCACGTCTCGTGCAGTTTTTTGTAAAACACTGAATCACCCGGGTGTCTCAGCACCCCTACAGCCCAGATTTGGTGCCCTGAGACTTCTGGCTTTTCCCAAAACTAAAATGACCTTTAAAAGGAAAGAGATTTCATACCATCATTGAGATTCAGGAAAATACAATGGGGCAGATGATGGCAATTGGGAGAACTGTGTGAGGTCCCAAGGTGCCTACTTTGAAGGGAACTGAGGCATCACTGTCCTATGTACAACGTTTCTTGTATCTTTTATCTTCTTCAATAAATGTCTCCATTTTTCATAGTACATGGCTGGATACCTTCTGGACAGACCTTGTATAGAAATAATATCCTGTGTTACATGACTTTGCTATATTCATTCATTAATTCCAGTAGATTTTTTGTGTTTTTCTTAGGATTTTTCAATGGAGACAGGCACGCGGCCTCATGAATTAAGAGTTTTACTTCTTTCTTTCCAATTTGAATCTCTTTAATTTTTTTTTTATCACCTTATCATATTTGCTAGTAATTTTAGTAAGTGTTCCATAGAAGTGGTAGACTGGACACCCTTGCTTTTCCCCCTGATCTTAGGGAGCAAAGTACTTATTTTTTCACCATTAAATGTGGTGTTGGCTATAGGTTTTGCCTTGATGTCCTTTATCAAGTTAAGGAAACTTCCAGTTGCCGATAGTTTTTGTAATGAGTGTGTCTGGAGTTATGTCAAGTGCTTTTCCTACATATAATGAAAAGAACATAAGATATTTTTTCCTTTCTGGTTTTCTAATATGGTGAACAACACTGACTCACTTTTGAATGTGAAATCAACCTTGCACCTGT